TTCATAAAGATTATTGCACCATGATTTGTTTGGCACAGTCTGGCATCTTACATATGTGAAATGTATGTACATTGGGTTTAAAAGGTGCTGCTACATCAAAATAAAAATGTGGAACTTTTTATGCGTTTACATCTAACGAGCATAAGACATGCACCTTCATAATCGCCTTCGGATTGCTCTGATCGAGATTTGTTTCTTATCCTCACATTCTACCGTGCATTCTACCATTATCTTATCTTTCTTTTTCGTTCTCTCTCATACACACACACCTGCATGTTAAACTTCACACAGTCAAAAACGAAGTCGGAACGGAATCGTCAGCGCGCGCACGATTCCCGTTTGAAATCGGTGCATACACAACGTCAAGAAGCCGCCCAATCGCGTCGCGAGGAGCGTATGCGTGCGGTCAAGGAACGTATCATGTCCGAGGAAGATCCGGACAAGGCGCGCAAACTTGAGGTAAGACCAGTTTACGCTCCGGGCTTGCTTGCTTGTCCTCTACACATGCCTCTGGTTTGAGCAAATCTGTTTAGTGCTAATTCGTAATCGTTCAGGAAACATGGAACGCCCTAAATAATGAATAAATCGTGTTTTGTTCGCAACTCAGTTTGGCTGCGGTTCTTCCCGGTCAGCCTTGCGTGATAGGTCCCTAGAAGCTCCCACACCATTCAAAGACTTCGGTTAGGGTTCCCAAAGAAAACCACCCTCATCGTTGTTGGCTACCACGAAGTATGTCGTGCCCTAAGGTCTTAGGCACCCATTTGGAAAAACCTCTTTCCGATCTATGTCGTTCTTTCTCTCAATTCCGAATAATCCCAGATGCCTCCTGTTTACGCCACCCTATCGAATATCACTCAGCGTTTTACCAACGAGGTCAAACTGCCAGAAGTTACAGGATATTGAAGCTAAAATTCCCTTTTTACCTATCCGCGTTCAATGTCCGCACACTATCAAATTGGTCAATAAGCTGTCTTGGCTGGAACCCTGTAACCTTTCAATTTTGATGTATGCTGTCTCCAAAACACGCATACAAGACCCTACTTCGATTATCTCCCGGCTTTCCCCTAACTCGACCTCTCGCTTCACCCTCCGTGTATCAGGCGATTCGGTATCCGAAGCTCGCGGTGTAGCTGGTATTGGGATTGTGCTAAGTGCCAAGGCTGAGCGCTCGCTTCTTGACTGGATTCCAGCCAGTAGCCGACTGTGCACTGTACGTATGTCATGCATCTACAGCAGTTATCAAATTGAACTAAATCTTGGTGATATCCCGCATCATTCAAGTAGAATGCAAGTATTAGGGATTCTCTTCTGATAGACCAATTTAAATGGCTTATAGTCTCTTTGACAGAAAATCAAACATTCTTAGTTTATCCGTGGTGAAGGTAACCACTAGGCGTCTGTTGTGTCCGTTTGATTCTGTTTACTGCCTGGTATTGTGTCAATTTAGTTACCACATCACAGAATGTGCAAAAAGATTGCCGACGTTTAAACGCCAATGCCCTTCCACCATGCCACGCGTCCAATGAGATAGCCGGATGAGTAATGTTGAAGCGAGGTGTAGGAGACTAAAAGTTGGACCCTGTTTCACAGAGGCTCGGGGCATGTGTTACACAAATCCCCACATAGACTTCTCTGGCAGATGGAGGTGACCAGTTCATAACTTGAGATAGAGTTTG